TTACAGAGTTTATTGACAGCCACTTTTAGCCAGACTTTCTTTAGTTTTTTCTTTTTTTTAACTAACAGTAAACTTACTAACAGTTGGCAACCCTGCCCCTGACTAAATTGCTTTGTGAACATTTTGGTTTATATTTAGTGCTCAGCCTGGGAATGAGTAAGGTAATAAAGACAGGCCAGAAAAGGTACTTGGAGGAACTGCTAAAATACTTATGCAATCCTAGTAGTCAGAAGTGACATACCACCTGTGAAACATCCAGGGCATGGGACTGTGCAGGGTCAGAGTTCTCTAGAAGGTGTCCTGCACCCTGTCATTCATGTCCTCTTTATGCCATTGTCTTTCAATTCTGACTTGGTGCTTTTACTTGACATTGATCAAGAAACTCCATCCATTGCAAGAAGCAACTTTTCTCCTGCCCCTTGTCATTGGAATGAGTGACGCATAAATGCTGATCTTGTCTGGTGTGCACTAGTAACAATAACACCTCAGTTAGATATAGTACCACTCACAAGTGGCTCTCAAAACATTTTACAAAGGAGGTCTGTTCCATTATCCCCATTCTACAACAGTGATTCTCAACCTTTTTGAACTCAAGGCACCCCTTGCTAACGCACAAAACAACCCTCATTAGGTTAAAGGCACCCCTTGGAACATGTTAGCTCTTAACTTTGACTTTTTTTTTTACTATGGAAAAATAAGACAGCAATATTTCTATTGTAAAGAACTCAGAAAGACCACAACAGGTTAGAAAGGTTTTAACACTATGGATTCCTATTTGAAATCTCTGGGTTTATCTTGTGAATCATGTTTGTACATTTAACAGTGATTATATTGTGTGGCATTCTGCAGCACCCCACAAAAGATCTCAAGGCAGCTCAGAGTGCTGCAGCACCCTGGTTGAGAATCACTGTTCTACAGGTACGGAAACTTGGGACTTCTCCATGCCTCACATAGATCAGTTGCAGGACTAGGATCCTAAGTCTCCTAAGATACACGATACTATTATATCCATGAGGTCACTGGGAGATACTTATCACCAAGCGTGAGCCCTGCGGTTGTAGGACCCAGGACGAGAGATCCTAATCTCCCAGCGCCAACTCCATGGTTTCAGGCCTGGCACTAGGAGATCCTTCTAAGGATAAGGATTTCCCAGACTCCGCTCCCCGATCATAGAAAGAGTACTGGGAGCTCCCTGCTGGTGGGGGGTGGGGTGATTGCTCCCTGCCCAGCTCTGATAGTAAACCTGGGCAGGGAACAGGGTTTCCAGCCTCCACCCCATGATCATGGAGCAGGAGCTGGGGACTGTCCCAGTCAGGGGCAGGTCCCAGCCCCATTCCCTGATTGGGCAATCAAGACACGGGACTTGGAAAGAGCTGCAGGTCCCAACCCCCTGCCCCATCCATTGGTGGGGCAGCTAGCAGCAAGCCCCCAGCTGGGTGGGGATTCCTCACTGTTATCTGGCAATCCTTGGATTCCCCACCCAGCTGGGGGGCTTCCTGCTAGCTGGCCCACCAGTGGATGGGGCAGGAGGCTGGGACCTGCCCTTTTCCTGCAGCTCTTTCCAAGTCTCCTGCTCATGATAGAGGAGCTGGGGCCAGGAGTTCCCTGCTGTCAGGGCAGGGTGACATTGTCCCTGCCTGGGGCTCAGTGGCAGTGCCTGCCCTGGCAGTAGGCAGTCCCTTGGGGGCAGGGAACATTGCCCCAGCTGTCTCCTGGCCCCATGCCTAGAGCTCCCCCTGGCTGCTGCAGGGGACTGGTGCAGGGCTAGTGGGGGCAGGAGCAAATAGCAGCAAATCTGCTTTCAAGACCCTGCATGTAAAGGCATCTGCCCAGGTCAGTTTACTCTAAAGTAATTTACTCTATTATCCCACATTATTTGCATGTGTAGATGCACCCCCATTTTCTTAAACTAAGCACAGCTCCTACTGGACAATCAGTTAGGGTCCCTTCCAGCCCGAATGTCTATGAATCTATGAATCTATGTCCCAGATTCCACAAACCTTACTTGGAGGCAACATATCCCAACTAATCTATTCTTCCCAGCCACACTTACTAGCAGTGTCTTGCTGCAGTGAACTGTCATTTCTAGCATTTGTGGCTCCTATAAAGCCATGGAGAGAAACAATGTTTTTAGCATATTATGTGTGGTGGAAGCTTGAATGCATTTTATTTTGGGGTCATGGTAGAGTCAGCTCCATAGCAATCTAGCTAGAAAGCAGCCTTGTTCCACCCTCCTGCACTGGACGTTGCAAACTGAAGTCCTTGCCACCATGGATGGCAGTATATGGGAATACCAACTCTGGGATTTATCAGAAAAAACACGCTGCTGACTTAATTTCAGGGTTGCACTGAGCCTGACCAAGCATTAGTACAGGTCCAAGTGCATGTGGGAGGGATCACTGAACAGCAACCTTCCCATTTACCTCTTTTGGCCCTTGCACTACAGTGTCTGGGATGCATCAGGGTTGCTCTGATAATCCAGACCTGAACTGACATTGCAGGGGAGGGTTGCATGACCATGTTGGGGGCCACAAAAGCATATGGTCCTGAGGTCCAGGACAGGATTGTCCCACTGAGCTGGGGCACATAGATGGAGCCAATACAGAGCCACACCTAAGGAATCCTGAGGCTATACGTCTGTTACTACATGCTTTCGTGGGGACAGTTTACTCCCTGCTATCTTGGCTGGCTAATGTCACTGGCCAGTTTGTGGGGAGGATGAAGCCACATCACTCAGGCTCCTGTATCATTTCTTTGGGAAATTGTGCACCCTGAGGCAGTAGGTTTGAAGTGGCCCCCACCCTCCTTCAAGCAAGAAAGCTGCAGTTCAGCATAACATGTACAGAGGCTTTGTGAGGGGAGATGGCTTCAAACCCTCTCAGGGCAGAAGGGCTAAGCAGAGTCTAGGCTTAAATAATCACTGGATTTTCCTGACTCATTTCATATGGTGTTACCAAGGGTACATCAGATCCACAGGGATTAGAAGCGAGCTACCCAATCTTCTGCACTGAAATGGCCTGCACGAACATGCTTGCTTCACCTTTTGTTAATTCGTGAATATTTGCAGGCATCTTGGAAGGAATAAAGTGCTAAGTGGCATTGTTGTCTGGCTGTTTTTTCATTTCGACTTCTTTCAGTCTCACAAAACTCAGCTCTGTCACTGACTTGACTCAGATCTGTGTTTTTATAACCCTCTTTTGGAAGCACAGAGCTCCACAGGAGTCTCTGGAAATCACAGAGGGCCTTCTGCTGCCATCCTTCCCTAGCACGAGAGAGAGAGGTAGAAATGGGCTTTGAGAGCAATTTCTCAAAGAAAGCAGGGAGGAGTTGTTAGGGGTGAATTGAGCTAACTGACCATTTGAGGATTAGCCAGTGGCTTCCCATTGGAGGGTGTAGTGTGGGTGAGCAGCCTTCCTCCCCTGGCCCTGGGAGCATTCTGGCAGAGGCACTTGAGTTGGGCCAGAGTGGGTTTCCCATCTGACAAGAGGTTTTGAACCCACAAAAGTTTTTCCTGAAACCTCAAAACTTTTCATCAATTGGTAGCCTTAAAGTTTGGATCCAGACAGTTTTTTTAAGATGGATTTTTATTTATTTTTATTTATTTTTGGAATTAAAAGACCCATTAAAATCCACCCCCTCCTGCAAACAGGCTTCGTTTTGACAGTTGAGGTCCTCCCAAGCAGCTTTCCTTAGCACCGCTGTTTACTAGCTGTGGTGCCAAACAGCATGATCAGGGCCACCATGATCATGGTACAAAGTCCTGCACTTAGGATGGAAGAATCCCATGCACCGCTGCAGGCCTGGAACCAACTGGCCAAGCAGCAGCTCTGCAGAAAAGGACCTGGGGGTTACAGTGGACAATAAGTTTAATATGAGCCAACTGTGTGCCCTCGTTGCTAAGAAGGCTAACAGCATACTGGGCTGTGTTAGTAAGAGCGTTGCCAGAAGATCAAGGGAAATAATTTATTCCCTCTATTCTGCACTGGTAAGGCCACATCTGGAGTACTGTGTCCAGTTTTGGGCCCTCCACTATAGAATTACAGTGCGTTGGAACAGACTCAATTAATTGAGTCTGCTGGAATGTGCTAATTAGCATGTTCCAGCAACCACCGCATCTTGTGTATCAGTGTCCCCAAGGTTTAAAATGGTGGCGGGGCACTTTAACCAAAACTCGTTTGACACTTCCAGTTTGAAGCATGGGAATGCTGATACATGAGATGCTGCAGGCACTTTAATTACAGTGGTTCTCAGAGTTGGTCTAATTATAGTGTCGTCCCCCCCCACCCCAATAGCACATGCAAAAACACCCTAGGAGGCTGGTGAAGCACTGGAACAGGTTATCTAGAGAGGTGGTGAAATCTCCATCCTTGGAGGTTTTTAAGACCCAGCTTGACAACGCCCTGGTTGGAATGATCTAGTTAGGGATGGTCCTACTTTGAGCAGGGGGTTGGACTAGATGACCTCCTGAGGTCCCTTCCAACCCTAATTTTTTGCAATTCTGTGAGTCACTGAGGGAGGCTGTTTAAATGTCCTTATTTTCCTCTTTTTGGCTAATAACTGCAACAAACAAAAAAGACTCAGTAAATCCTGCTTGAAGATGGGAGGGATCTGGCAAGTTCTCTTTTTTTCCAGTAGGAACATTATGTTCCTTCCCGTACTTTTATAGCAACGGAAATGCAGGGGCGATGGAGAAGCAAATGAATATGCTTATTAAAAGCCACATTTGGGGGATTTAACCAAAAACGAAGCTATGTTTTAAAAGTGATGCTGGAATTCTGGATATTTTGGAGTAATGCCTGCAACCTACAGAACATATGGGGGCTGTCTCACATACACCATTGTCTCTGTTTACTACAATACTTTGTTACTGTTTGTTTTTGATTAAATTGCAGAGTGCTAGATTCATTTCCCATGACACGGGAATAGCAAAACACAAAATGAGAGGGAGCTGAAAAACATGTGCTTGCTAGTTACTGTCACCGTCAGCAAGTTTGTAGGCAGGCAGTAGTACCCCGGCTGCCTTAACAGAACTTAGTTAAGTAATCGTGTTTCTCTTGCATAAGCTTTTGCTTTCAAGATGCCTCAGCCAATCCTGTGCTGAACAAAAAGCTTATTTAATACCCACTACTTTCTAAATAATGCATGATATTGATCTTCCTAAACGTGTATAAATTCCTGTATACAGGGGTTTGAGAGGTGCAATTCCTAAAGACAAAGTGAGACTCCAGCTTTGAGAGTAGCAAAACCACAGCTAGAAGACATTGCAGAGATCAGCTTTGGGAGGAAAAATGTGAGTAATATTTCTTAATATTCTGAACAGTGTGTGTGACCTCTAATTGCAAATGGGAAAATGAGGAAGACCTTTATGTCCACCATGAATCAAAAGAAGGCAGGAGGTGAAAGGTAGCTAATGAAAATAGTAAAACTTAATATCTCACTCCCAGATTTCTAGAAGGAAGTATTTGTTTACCTAGTGCTCTGTAAGCCAAACGTCTTTCAAATATGCCAGTAAAGAGGGGTGATCCTAGATTATGAGCCTAGCTAGACCACTGCAAATCCAGAAAATGTTTGCTCGAGATAATGGAATGTCTCCAGATTTATGGTGGCACAATCCATATAAGACTCTGATCCATTCATTTGAATGATCTCTCTTGCACAGGAGATCTAGTACTTTAATTGAAAGAAATTGATAATAAAAATGTACGTCTGAAAGAGGAAAACAACACGGGACAAAGCTAGTATTGATATAACAGAGGAAAAGGAAGTCTGTCTTGCCAGTTCCAGATGATGTATTTGAGTGTGGTTTAACTTGTGATCAAAGTATAGTACTAAAAAACTACCCACTCAAGTGTGAAGTGGATTTTACTAGTTTCTCTCTTAATCAATACGGCACTAGTCACTTGTTATTTCTCATCACATTTAAAGGAATTGCAGTTACTACTCAAGTGAGCCATAAAACTCTAGTGTCAGTGGAATAGAGAAAAAACATATGCCTAAAATATGAAAATGTAAGAGTCATAATATATTTTGTAGATGTCAAAATCCTTGCCTAAAAGATATAATCTAGGTTTCCCAAATAACATCACCTTTTTGAAAATGTGATGCAGATTTTTAAAATCTAAAAATACCTTGAGACTGTGAAAGCACTTCATATCTTATTTCTGGCTTATAAATGGAATGGTAATGCCACAGTTAAAAGAAATGACTACTTTGTAGGAATCACAGTGTGAAAGAGATAGACACAAAAGAGCTGTATGAAAGTAAAATGAACCAGTAAAGGTGGAGTATGACATTTTCTAAGTTTCTGCTTTACTTCTGAAGTGGGCAAAAAGGCAGGCCCGCCTGAGGGAGCACAAACACAGTGGCGATGAAAGCAAGACCAAGTTGCAGGCCCTTGTACAGGTGTTTGTGAACTGTTCCATTCATAAAAACCCTTGCTTTATACCAACAGGTGAGTCTGATCTATACTGCCCCTTCTGCATTGCTCCTCTGAATAAGTTGGATTCAGATTGCCCATGTAGCCTGGTTGCTCTGATTGTACTCTGCCCATCTGGAATTGTGTTGCCTGCGGAAGGCGTTACCTTTGCATTCAGCATACTGCCTCTATAGCACTGGAGTGTGTTCGGTACACAGATGATACTGGTCAGGGCTTAGCTTTCTTGAAGCCAGGTATGCCTGCTTGAGTGATGTTAGCATAGATTCTCCTGAATCACAGATGTGCAGTAAGGGAAGTGAGAGTTCAATCATGGATCAAGAAAATACCACATGCAGCAGACAAGGGACAAACTCTCAGGTCTTACTGCTTAGGGGAGGGAGGAGGCTAATAGCTAAATAATCCTCTGCTTTTTCTGTCACAACATTCCACTGTTTCCCTACTGTGTGTGTATAATATGTGTGCGCACACGCATGTGCTCAGACAAGCAGTGGAAGAAAGCTTAGCTTAACTCTTGGCTGTGTCTCCTTGGTCCTCCTTTAGCTCCAGGAGGTGCCAGTGCAGTTGCAATGCCCATAGCAATAATAGAGGAAGAACAACCAGTACCCAGTGACAGTTCAGGAGAGGGTTCAACTGTTTTTTGCCTTTTTGGCTAAGCTCAGGCCTGGTATTAGTGTAATGTAAAAATCATTTTTTATCAAGAGTTATACCAAGGATGAACAGGCCCAATGGGAGTTTTGCTCCTGCAGCAGCACCAGCTCTCCCTCTGTCCGCCTTCCCCACCCCAATTTCTGATCTGCTAGAGCTAGATGGTTCTTTCTTCAGCTTTCCAAGCTTTACTGTGCTGCCAGGAGGGCTAGAAACTTGCTCTTTATATAAGAACAAACACTGAGATTCTGGACATCTTTACACTCTAACAGTTTCTTGCTGCCAGAAGAGCCCCTTGGGTCTTCAGACAGCCATGCATAAAGTAAAGCTATCGTTAGGCTGCTCTAATTTACGTTGCAAATTAATATGGCCCCTGGGTGTCCTAAGAACTAAAAGTAAGACACCTTTGGCCTGCTTCCATATACTGATCTCGCAGGAAGCAGAGCTCACGAGGGCAGTGAATATAAAGTGTTGCCAACTCTCATGATTTTTGACATTGTTCTTAAAGTCCACCTTTGGGAATGTGAAAAACTGAGCTCTTTCTTTTATATATATTTATATTTATGTGTGTGTGTGTATAGATCTATATAGATATATATGTAAAAGAAAGAGCTCAGTTTTTCACATTCCTGAAGTGTAGACTTTGAGAATAATGCCAAAAATCATGAGAGTTGGCAATAACCTACAGCTCGCAGGGCCTGATTATCATCCCATTTATACCAGGGGATTTCTGCAACAACTCCCATAAGTCAGTTAAGTTACAGTGGAGCAACAGTTCTCAGACTGGGTAAGACCAAAGCCTCAGCATCTACTGGAATCTGCCATTATGCTCTAGGGATTTTCAGCTTTCATTAAAATGTGAGCTTCTAGCCCTATGTTTGCAACAAAAATCTTCCAAATGTAGTATAAGTATCTGTAACCGTAGCAGTGATATCTGCCTGGGCCTGCAGAATGTCTTGAAACAAGAGGTACTTGGACCCTAATGAGATGTTGCACATTGATGATAACGTGATTGCCAGCTGCTCCTTATTTCATCATTGATCAAACTAGGTAGAAAGTATGGGTCTGGTTATAATATCCACCCCTATGAAAGCTGCCCAAAGTGCATCTGCACTGCAAAATAAAGCTGTGATGATAGCATGGGGGTTAATCTAGATTGGGGTGAGCAATTATTTTGGGCGGAGGGCCGCTTACTGAGTTTTGACAAACCATCGAGGGCCGCATGACAGGCAGCCAGGGGCAGATAAATATTAATTTTCTAAGTTTTTTAGGGGCCCCGCGGGCCAGATGGGATGACCTGGCAGGCCGCATCCGGCCCGTGGGCCGGATTTTGCCCACCCCAATCTAGATAGTACAAATAACAAGACCAGCGAACACACGGCATTGTGTTTGCATATGGTTACCAGAATACCAACCTTTCTAAGGCTTTGGGAACTTGCTCTGGTTGCTAGTATATACTAAGCCCAGGCCACTGCATTTTCATATGTATCCTCACTCATGCTATCTCAAGTAAGCTAGCACAGATACTCTAGTACAGCGGTTTCCAATCTCTGGTACCTGTGCCACCAGTGATACGCAGACTACCTGTCAGTGGTACACAGTAACAGATTTATTATAATTACTTTATATGACAAAAATTTGCTGGTGGTACATAAAGCTGAACTGGAAAATTTGCTGGTGTTACTTATGGTTGTATCATTTTAAATTGGCGGTGCGCAATCTGTCAGAGTTTGGGAATCGCTTCTCTAGTGTGTCTTTCAGTTATAACTTCATCTTGCTCTGTAGACATTCTCTGAGGGTCACATCTCCCTTTGATGCATTGATCTGATGGAGCCTCTGACTCCGCTGGAGACACAAGGCCATGGAGGTAGCCTGAGTTATACAAACATGCAGGGGACTGAAATCTATTTTGCCTCTGTCTCTTATTCTCATTTTCCTTTTCAGCCTGCAAGATGTTTACACACAACAAACTGAAGATCTTTATAATGTTTCTGACTTTTGCCATCTACATAATCATGGTGGTGCTTAATGTTGGAGCTGGTACAGGACTCTTCAAAGGTAATGCAAGCAGCAGTTGCTATTTCTGCCCTGTGGCTTTTATTCCAGTGACCCACTACTCCTTGTGTTCCAGTTCAGGGGGTTTATGAATGAGGTACTTAGTGGCAGGGGTTCTGCTTCATCCAGTATTTAAGTTGGAGCAGTTTTACTACATTACTATTGTTCCTGCTGTCCCTGTGAAATGTTCTCTTGTTGAAAAGGCTCCAACTGTACATGCATCCATACCCTAAGAAATGGTGGGAGCTGCTCTTCTTCAGAAAGTAGCAGAGGACATCCTGGCAAAAGCCTTTTGGAACTCCCATCAGCACCAAATCAGTATGCCAGCTTCTACTCTGCTCCTTTACACACTTTGGCTTATACATCCCACCCAGCCAGCTTTACTGTCCTGTGTGTAGGGGACTTATGCAATGGCCCCATTGCCTCCTCATCCCCTTGGGCCATGAACCCTCCAGAGGGGAAACCCTCATGGGGCACTGGCTGCAATTCACCCTGGCCTATATGAGCCTCAGCCAAAGTCCCACAGACCTAGAGGGCATGTTTCTTTTAACCCTGGTGGGCTTTGGATTAGGGCATGACACACGTAACAGAGACTTTTGCATCCTCTGTACTCACTGGGCACATCTACATGAGACTCTTACTACACTTTAGCCTAATAATACTGCGCATTAGCGTGCTGGTTAAAAACCATGTTAATAGCTTGCTGCACAGTGTTGTTAGGCTAATGCACAGTCAGCGTCACAATATAACTATAAGCCGGCACTACTGTGCAGTAACTCTACCTACTGTGCATTTAGTTAGTACTTTATTAAGCAAGTACTAAACTAAATACACAGTGTCTAAGGAGCATTAATGAATATGTAGATGCTCCCACTAAGTTTCCACATAGCAGCTGTATAGCACCTGGGGCCTTGGCAGCAGGAAAGGACATCTTGGACATGTGGTTTTTATACAGAGCAGTGCCACCAGCTTTCCACTCGGGATGAGGGAGAGTTTGTCAGGTATGGATGTTGCTTAGAATCATAGAAAATGAGGGTTGGAAGGGACCTCAGGAGGGCATCTAGTCCAACCCCCTGCTCAAAGCAGGACCCTCGCCAACTAGATCATCCCAGCCAAAGCTTTGTCTAGCCAGGTCTTGAAAACCTTCAAGGATGGAGATTCCACTACCTCTCTGGGTAATCTGTTCCAGTGTTTTACCACCCACATAGTGAGAAATTTTTTCCTAATATCTAACTTAAACTTCCCTTGCTGCAACTTGAAACCACCGCTCCTCTTTCTGTCATCTGCCACCACCGAGAACAGTCCAGCTCCATCCTCTTTTGAACCCCCCTTCAGGTACTTGAAGGCTGCTATTAAATCCCTTCTCAGTCTCCTCTTCTCTAGACTAAAGCAGTCAAGGTTCCTCAGCCTGTCCTCATGCGCCCCAGCCCCCTCATCATTTTTGTTGCCCTCCACTGGCCTCCCTTCAATTTGTCCACATTTTTTCTGTAGTGGGGGGCCCAAAACTGAACACAGTACTCC